AGTTCATTTTTTATTGCAGATTCGGGGTCCTCTACGGTAGCGCAGCACAACCCTACCTTCCAAAAAAAAAAAAAAAATCCTTGCTGGGTTTTTGCATCGCTCGGTTTCGCCGGGCGGAACCCCCCCCGCCCAACCGGCCGGGCACGCCCGGCCAGGCGGCGGCCCAGCCTAGTAATTTTGATTAAAAAAAAACTTTATTTAAAAATCCATAAAAAACGTATGTTGTACAACATTGCAGTGCAAACAACTTTCGCCTGAGGGTCTTGGCAAAATTCCCAACCCAGTTTGAGATAAAAATAAAAACAATGGCGTTACTATAGGCTTATGAAAAGTTGTACCCTAAAACTCGTTCTATAATGTACGTACATTGTATTCGAATACAACGTACCCCCTACGTTGTATTCGTATACAAGGTACGTACATTTTTTTCAGGTTAAGAAGGTAGGACAAGTACATTTTCAGAAAACGACACGCGGTTAATGGAAGGCCCAAAATTCGGGGTTTTTCGCCACATCACTACAAGCAATGTCGTCGAAAATTTTGCGAACAAAGAAAACCTGCTGTAGTTATCCATTTTTATACTTTGGCATCAATTTGTGTGATTCCTTAGACCTTTGTCTTTGCCAAGCGTTGGTTGGCATACTCTGTGGTTCTCTGTGAGCTTGGTTGCAGTGATAGAGCCGTCCCAAAACTCTTTGTGGCCCCAATGCGTTCACTCAGCATTTCACCAAAGGCGGGGAGACAATTGGACAGCCCCCTACCTGGACGCCCTTGATGCAGATGGATGAGGAAAAAAAACCAGGTGTGGACGGGTTCCCAAAAGAGTTTTGGGAAACATTTGGACTCTAATGGCCCCGAACCACATGGGGTTCTACCATCACGTGTGGGAAACAGGGCACATGGGGGAGCTGGTAGGGCAGGGGGTCCTCACCTTCCTACACAAGAAAAGGTGACGTTGTCGGGGCAGAAACCCTGACAAGGGTATCTGCCCGTGTTTTTCAACGTCGGACGTTGTCTGACCTTTTCACTAAATTGGAGGACTTGATGAGATTAACGTTGCCAATGTTAATCAGACCAGCGCTATGACTGGGAGACCTAAACTTTTTTTGAACCTGACGTCGTTGACGCAGGACGACATCGACGTCCGCGCGGGTCAGCGGGAGTCGGCACCGTCATCCGCGGTTTCGACGAGGTAGCAGTAGTGTGCGGCCATGGGAAAACCAGAGATAAAACCTAGACTACCTATAATAAGGTCCCGCGGCTGTTAAGCCGCGCGGTTCAGGGCCTAAGCGGGCCAAAAAGGGGTCGCCGCGACGAGATTGGACCGCGGCGTGAAGGGATGATTTTTAGGGTCCAATGGGCTTTTGCGCCGAGGACCTAGGGCGAAGGCCTCGGGGCCAGCCAGGTAGGGCAGCCGTTGAGGCTGTCAGCTGCCGACCCCGCCTGCCAGCCACGACAGCAAGTCTGCTAGGCGCTGGGAAGGGGCCTGCTGGGCATTGGAGGTCCTTCATATAGAAGGGCCACTCCTTTCCTGATGTGAAAAGGAGCTAGCCCAGTAGGTACCGTCGCCAGATTACCACCCCGCAGATATGGGGATTGAACCTGACCAACGCACTATTGGGCTCGCTCCTTTTGGAGCAGCCCGTGACTTGACAAGCGGAGCGACCGATTTTCTGTCGTGCGATCTTCGAGATCGCGCGGCTGAAATCAGTCGCGTCGGGGTGATATGGCCCCTGTGTGTAAGGATGACACGCATAAATCGAGAAATTGTCCGATTCTTTTCTTTTCCTAGAAAAAAAAAGGAGAACAAAAAAGGGAGAAAACTTACCTAGGCCGTACCTGAGCGCCTAAGCGCCCAGGTACGGGCTTTAGCGAGGACGCCAGGGCCACGTCGTGAGGTAAGTCCTGCTTTGTGTTTTTTTCTTCCTTTTTTTATTATTATTATTATTTTTTTTTTTTGGTTGCTTCTCGTCTGCTTGTGCCACTAAGGCGAAGCGACGCGACCGTTGGCATAAGCCAACAGTAAGACAAAGAGAAAAAAAAAAAAAAAAAAAAAAAAAAAAAAAAAAAAAAAAAAGGGGGTGAGGGGCTTACCTACCCCGCATCTGGACACACAAGCGCCCAGAAACGGGCATCAAAGAGAGATTCAGGAAATCGAGATTGAACTGTTTTTCCGCATCTTTGCTTGAAACACATCCAGATGCAGGAGCTCGATCCTACCCCTTGCTAGTAGGACCTCAGCCATCAAGCCGTCGCTAGGCCACGACATGATGTGACAAAAAAATAAATAAANAAATCCTCTCTCGTGAGCGGGTCAAGCTCCTCAAGTCTTGACCACGCCGTCGAGTCCTCGGAAAGCAGTGGTGAACTGACCGGATCACTTGCCGACAGTGTACAGGCTACGCATACGCAATCTACATGCACGTGGCTAGGCTGGTCTAATGGTGGTACCAGCTGGGCGGCATAATCCTCGTACGTAGCATGAGAATCAGCGACTAACGCATGCTCCCCGTAAGTGACATCGATTGCTAGCAAGGCAACCGGGTCCGGCGGAGTGAGGAGAGACATCGCCCCTCTCCTTGCGTAACTCAGTTTCCCGAGTTTGCTGGACGGGGTACGCGTGCCTTGCCCTTTTCGGGGCATTATGCGGTCACATGGGTGACTCCGTTGCACCAAAGGCAGTATCCGTACTTCTGACGTAGGTCATAGACCTCCTTGGTGATCTTATATGCCGTCCATGGCTGCCCATCTCCCGTTGCTGCCGTCTCTTGTGTCGCCTTGTTCTTACGAACTCTCTTGGGACGCTTCGGCGGGAGCGCTGCGACAATTCCTCCACCTCCCGAGGATGCTGCTGCAGCGTGGTGGTCGTCGGCTTCCTCAGAAATCACGGCATTGTTATGTGCTGGACGTTGATAGGCCTGCTTAGCCACATAATGCGGCTGGGATTGTCTCTCGTTAGCGGCCTTGTCRTCCGTTTGGATGACCAAGTTCGCTCGATCCAGAATGCCCTGGAATGTGGTATAGTCGTACTCATTACCGAGTGCCGACCGCAATCCCGTGCATGATCGCGAGAAGAACTCGGATCGTTGATTTGGAAACGTCAAGTCGAAGCCTGGTGTGGTCACTATCTTTTGCCACTTCGTTGCCCAGTCTCGAGTTGGCATGTTCCCCTGAGAGCATGTGTACACCTCATTCATGGCCGCCTTCACGACGTTGCGGACCATGAACCGGGTGAACCATAGCTGCTCGAACTCCTTCCACGTGATGTGCGTGTGGAGTTCGGCGATGGTGCACTTGTGGGTGGCCGCCAGGTGGTTCATCCATGCCTGCGCTCCTCCAATCAGTTGCAAGTAGAGTGCCTTCAACATGTCGTTCGCCGGGACAGTGCGGCATGACGCTTCCGTGAGGAAACGTTGCCACCATGTCAAAGCGTCCGACTTGTTGTAGTCGTCGAACTTGCAGATGTCGAAGTGCGGCATCTTGAACGTCTTTGTAGCGGCGTCCGGTCTCGTCTGTAGCTTGGTGATGTCCGTCTTGATGGCGGCCACCGTGCTGCTGATCGTGTCCGGTCCGTTGAAAACACCTATGTCGCCGATGATGGTGACGACATGATCGATGCGTTCATTGATTTGCTTCGTCGCGTCCGTCGTGCAGCCTGGCGCTGCTGAGGCCTTGGCCTCAATGCCGTTGATGCGTGCGATGGTAGAGTTCATCAGCTGTTGCTGTTGCTGTTGCTGTTGCTGCATTGCTGCGTCGCGGACGCCGGCCGTTACAGCGGCCAGGTCTTGCTGGTACTGCTGTTTTTGTTGTCGTTCCACGTCCAGGTGTGCCTGCAGTAGTTTGTTGTTCCACATTACTCCCCTCGTTACGTTCAACATCACAGTAGCCAGGTTACTTCTCTCTGCCTCCGCCTGCGTTTCCGTAGGCACAAAGATCATGCCTTGGAGTACCGTTGTCCACTGATGCTCACTCGCAATCAGGGACTCCGTGCTGGCGGCATTCCGTTTGTTTCGTGCCGCTTCGTCAGTCTCAGCTGTCCGCTGAGCTTCGGCTGCCACCTCATTGGCCAGCCGCTGACGTTCTGCCTCTGCCGCAGCCTGCTGAGCCTCGGCGGCGGCTACGGCGTCTGTAAATGCCTGTAGCCGCCCACGATAGTCAGCCCAAGGCTCGCTGGCCTCTCGGACCAGG